ATTTCCGACGACGTGTGTGTATTACAACGTGATATTATTATCGCGGTGAAATATTAAGTTTCGCATAAAAACGTACTCACGTCCAGTCATCGTCACAGTCGGTTAATTCGGCTACAGCAGCAGCAGCAGTAGTAGTAGTAGTAGTCGTCGTCGTCGCCGTCGCCGTCGCCGTCGCCGTCGTCGCCGTACGATGCCGCGGTGACTAACGATGGCGGCAAATCGTTTTCGCGCATCGTTTTCGAACGGAATTATCGTTTCGCCGCCGCCGACGTTCGGAAACGTTGAAACACCACCGCCGCGCGGTATATCATCGGCGCGTATTATTATACCCGTTATACGGTCGCGAAACGCCGCCGCACACTCTGTCCGTCCCGATTGATAAATTAACAAACAGGCAAACGACCGCGGCGTGCCCGTACCCCGCGCGCGCGATATGTGCGCGCGCGTGTGTGCGTGTGCGCGTGTGTGCGTGTGCGTGTGCGCGTGTGCGTGTGCGTGTGGGCGGCCGGCGTACACGAAACGACAATAATAATTTAACCTCAAGATACGTGTGCCCGGGAGTCGCGACGGTCCAATCGTACCGAACGCGCGGCGCTGCACAACGAATACGCGCGCACACGTTACGCAACAATACGAAATACGCACGTACCCGTAGCGCGTGTCGCGGCGGGAGTAACGTGTTGCGGAGGGTGCGCCGCCGCCGCCGCCGCCGACGCCGCGACGGGTCGCGCAGGTATATCGTTATCGTTATTATCGTTATTATCGTTATTATAACGCGCGGACCGACGGATTGATTTCGATTGGCTTTTCGATGCCGTAACAGACTGCGGAGCGTTCAGACCGCCCGGCAATTGTTATTCACACGTATACGGGCTCGCGTTGTTCCGCGCCCCTCACGCGCGCCGCATGCGAACCGAACGTTTTATGTAATTATTGTGTGTAATTACGACGGTTAGGTACGGAATCGAACGAGATTTCCGCGCCATATAATAGCTTATTGCGCCGTCTTTGTCTTGCGCGTGTGCCGTGGCTCACGAAGGTTTTCGCCGCGTTCGTCGTTACACGCTGTCGGAAACGTAACGCGCGTTTTTTTTTTTTTTTTTAAGGCGAGGGACGCGCGTTATCGGCGGCGAGAATTCGCAAGTAAACGACATCGCCTCGCGTGCACGCGGGCGGCGGCGGTTACCTGTATCGCGCGCTCGGACGTACGACAAAGCGACCGCGCACAAATATTATTAAATGCGCCAGCGAACGGCGGGAAATTCTCGCGTTTTCCGCGCGCGCGGTGTGGAGCAGAAACGACGCCCCGAGCCGATATTCGTGGGACCGGTGAACGGACGATAAGAAACGGTCGCGAACCCCGGACGCGAACGCGACACCGTTGCGACGAGAACGAAACGAGAACGGGGAACGCGTGCGGAAACAGCTGATAATGATCGATAATAAGGAATGCGCTCGTCGATAACGACCCGGCGGGAAGCGACCGCTGGGAAGACCCCGCTCGAGACGGTAGCACGTCGCGTCGTTAGCAATGTAGGACCAATACACTTTGGGTCCGACGTGCCAAATGTGTAGCGCCTTTTCCGAATGGAAATTTTATCCGCGCGGTACTTTCGGGAGGTTTTCTTTTCGATTTTCCCCGGAGTCGCCCCAACGAATGGGGAAAAATATCGGGGAAAACGCAATCGTAAACATAAATATTAACCGAATACTGTTAAAGAAAATATACAATTCGCGTGTACTTAATTTACCAAAATGCGACACATGTACTGTTGACGAAGCAACGCAACAGTGTGCGATAGTATAGTGCACTTTTAGATTCTGAGCGCAGCGAAGAAGCTTACGGTTGTACAAAGATGTTTATTTTATTTATTTATTCGTGCGCGATTTTTTTTACCAAAAAGCGTGCTCCGATTTTTTAGAACGGCGCCTTTTCTGAAAGGATATTTGACCGGGAAGATACTTCGATAAGGTCATTCTTCGATTTTCTCAAGAGTTTCCCCGTCGAATGTGAAAGAAACATTAAAAACTGTTAAAGCCGCGCCGGAGGTCGAAAAATACCCAATGAGCTATCATCGCGCTTCAACCAACGTACGTCATATCCGCAACACCGTAAACTGTATACAACAGTGGGCAATGAATAAACTATAATTAATAATAGTCCAAATGTCCTAAATATAACATATTTTATAATTATATTCCTAAATCATAATTCAAGAGTAAGGAAATTAACACCCGTTACAACTTTGAATGGCATTCAATTCTAATGTCTATACATCAGGTACAAATTTTCAAATTCATCTACGCTGAATATACAATATACATATATTAATTACGTGGTTAAATTGTATTATTTTTTTTACATATTAAGAAAATTTAAAAATGCGGAAGTATTATGATATTACGCTATTTCAGATATTAGCAAATTGTAATTATTTAACGAAATAAACACAATAGTTACCATGGCTTAAATAATGGTTTTTTTTTTTTTTTTTAGGCGCAACAACAGAATACGTCCGAGCGTATCTGGTTATTGCGCCAATTGATAGAGAATATTCTTTCGAACATTTGTATGGAAAAAATGTGTTCTTGAAAATTTTGTACACATCTCGTTATTGCACCGGTGCAATTATCGACAACGTTTTCAACTAATAACTGAATACCAATTGTGCTTTCAACTGATATTTAACAAAAACACATTGAAAAATCCCATAAAGAAAAAAAAAAACTATGTGAAAGTGGGCAGTGGCAGATACCTATATATTATATTATTATCTTGGGCCCATGTTTAGATAAGTGTATACAATCCGATTTTTTCACACATAATTTTAAAAAATACACGAAATTTTCACCATTGAAAACATTTTTTCCCGACAATTAACCACCTTCAGTCTTCACTTTTATTTTGTCGGTTTTCAGATCAAAATTCAAAAGCAAGTCGAAGCAAAACACCGCACCGTGATAAAGTGTTCATTCACAAATCAATTTTGCCTACTATAATAGTAAGTTACAAATGTATCTAAATGCTTTTCCCTTAAAAAAATTGCATGTTCTTTTTCTAGCTTTAGTAAAAGTGAGCGGAAACATGTTTAGGAAAAAAATAAAGTCCAATGATATGATTTAAATAAAATTATTTAGAGAATCAATCGAGAATTATGTAATTAATACTAATTTAACTGTTTTCATTTTTTTTTATTATTTTTTTTTTTTTTGTATACGCTTATAAAAAAACAGATGGACCCTTTAACTGCATTTATATAAAATGCATAATAATAATCTCATGACATTTTAATACCTACATCATTATTATATGATTAAAAATATGAAATATAAAGTATTACCTGGAGCCTTGTCCGTTGTAGCTAAGTTTTGTGAGTTGGTCGCAGATACCCACAAATTAAATTGGCTTATATTAATAATTACTAATTATTAATTAGTCTAATCCAGCGAACAAAATGAGTAAAACTTGAGAAAAAACGTAAAGGTGTTATAAAAAGTTATAAAGATCGAAAACACATTAGACAAGAGCCGTAAGTATCAGAGTTGCGTACATCATTTTTTCTTTAAAACAAAATAATCATATTACAATTATTTAAATAACAAAGTAACACGGATACTGTTAACAAAAGACAACGGTGTCGTCGCTATAGAGATTATTTATGTACGACCACAGATTTAAATAATAAACTAGATAATTTAGGATTTTTTTTTTTCTTTATTAGCTTCTTCAATAAGAAATCCTTAGTAGAGCGCTTATATCAGTGCTTGAATTAAGGAGGGGGCCGTTAGGGCTCCTCTGTTATTTTAATTAATTTTTTTTTTTTGGTTTTCAGCGTCCTCTTATTAAATATTTCTACCGGGAAGGAGAGTAAATTATGATATTTTCAATAATATTTATTTTCTTTTCGCCAACTCAAATAATTTATATATTTTTAGATTCTGAATGGAGGGAATGGTTTTACAACGATATTTGTTTTATTATTATTTTTTTTTTTATTTCTATAAGAAACTATTCTATCAACAATTTTTTTCCGATTTACATTGATAGCAGTTTTTTTAAAAGGAAATTTGACCGGTAAGGCACTTTAAATAGGTCAGTGTTCGATTTTCCCAAGATTTGTCTAGCAAATATCAAAAATCGGGAAGAAAAATTGGAAAACTAAGAAAAACGTAGAAAAAACGAGAAAACAAGTACAATATTAAACAAGCATTACTCCGTTCAGAATCGTTTTTTTTTTCATTAACAACGGTTAATCGTTGCTTATAGATATACCTTAAATTCCCGTCTGTACCCTACCTTCCCAACTGCCCACCTACACCAGTGGCTGCAGCCGTCCCCATTATCCTAGAACAGTTTTTTTTTTTTGTTATTATCATTTCACTACAATACCATCCATTCGAATAGCAGCACTTCAAAAAAAATGTATATGTCTATATATTATTATGTATTCAGATACGTATAAAAATGTTTTAAAAAAAAAAACAATCGTAAACTATTCTGATAAGTATGATGTTTGTTGCTTGCGGGCCATCATTTCATAAAAGACGTTTATGTTAAGAGGACACGCGCGTATTTTGTCGCGTATTTTATTAACCACCACCTTGGATAACGAAAAAAAAAAAAATCGTATTTATTATTATATATGGAATTTCTTTTAATCATTTAGCAATCCGAATAGCATATCTGTAATGATAATATTATATTAATAGCAATTTTCCATCAAAAAAAAAAAAAAAAATGATGTGATTACATTATATTATTGTAAACGAATTATTTAAACTATTGATTGGTCGCGGGAAATCGGAATGCCGATAACAAAATCGGAGAGAGCGTCGTTTGCATTGTCGAAGTTCTCAAAGTCCGAAATATCGTCAAGTAAAACAAAACGCAGACTTCACGCAACGAAAATACGAGCCGCGCTGACCTGTGGACGCGAACCGTGTGAGTCAAGGCGTGTTTCTGTAAGTAAAACGCAGTGCGATTAAATAAGTGAAAAACCAAACAAAAAAATCATAGCGTGTACAGCCCGCGTCCAGAAATGTACCCGAATGCGTATTGCACAGAAATGTACCGTGCGATAACAGCTGCTGCCGTTGATCGATGTCCGGTGACGATAAAGCGGCGAGCAAAATAGTATAGCCGAGCGCACGGGACGCGTGTGTGTGTGTGTACCTCCTGCCTACCTCGCCGACACCTATAGTTTAGTGCCCGCAATCGGTACCTGTATGTATATTAGGCGTTCTTGTATAATAATATTATAGTAAACAGGATATAATAATTCATACGGATATAAAAAAAATAAAAAAAAAAAAACGGCATATATTTGAGAAATTATTATTCCTGTTCCGGACAAAAGACGAATGTCTGTGTGTAATATCGTTCGAGAATGGCAAAAAAAAAAAAAAAAAAAACGTATTACCGAGTGGGACGTTTCTGTGTGTATACGCAGTGCCCCAGTTCGCATCGCGATAGCATTCGGGTCGAACGCTTTATTGCATAATAATCTATACCGTCGTCGTTGCGTAACGGGGCGGCGAACAACAATCATACTTAATACTTAATTAATAATTACAATAATATAACGCGCCCACTAATTGCAAGCTGAACGATTATTACACTCACCCGGATTTTTAAATCCCGAGGTCCGACGGCCCGGCCGAGTGTATAACAATAGTGTGTACCCGAGTCCCCCGCCCCTCCCTACTCGTTTAACGGGTAATCCGAGAACAAGTATTGTAGTGTTGTTGGTTTTTTTTTTTCCCCCCTATAGTTTTTAACGCGGCGAAAATCGATTCGGTATCAACGTTTTTGATTTCCGTCAACCCGTTGACGGGATATTTCACATTCGAGTTTAGGTAGGGGAAGAGTGGTGGAGTATAATTTGTGTGGCGGCGTTTGGCTCCACTTCTGGTTAGGTTGAAAGTTCCGAAAATCAGAATATTTGAACGCATGCGAAATTAAACCAAAAAAAAAAAAAAAAAACGGGACGAACACGCTTAGCGAATCATCCTGTATAGTTGACGGTAGCCGCAGCAAAACGAAATAAAAAAAAAACCTCCGCGGGAAATTTCACCAGACGATATTCAATTTACTAAAGAGAGAAAAAATATATTACGGTATAATAATATTATATTAAAGTTAATTATACGACTTTTATTTATTATTTTATACCTTAAAAACCGTATTGTTTATTAGTTGACTACCAATAAAACTGTACGGATCTCGACCGTGATGTCGAACAAATCGAAATGTTTAAAATGGCTAGCGCTAGATCCAAATTTTACACGCGAATGCTTTACGGGGAGGGGGGGAGGGGGTAAGGAACATTTTCATTTTGTACACGCAGATTTCAATGGAACCAGACGCACTTTTTAACCAAAGTCTTATCATAACCACGCACGTCCCTCAGACATACTCGGATATAGATTATGTTATACGACCGACAAATATGGGTCCACGGTGCACACGATATTCGCTGTACGCTGCACGGCATCTCGACGATGTTACGATTTCCCGCGCAAATGCGTACGAACAACCGTGAAAATTCTGCGGCACGCCCTGTATGTACGCGAACACGTATACCCTGTTTGTTCTCCCTCTCGCGCGCCAACGTACGGGGCGTCACGCGGGAATCTTGACGATCGAGTGCCCCGCGTCGTCTTCGGCGCGTAAAACGTCCGCGGCGGCGAGCGGGCTGCTTGAACCCCGTTGAAAAACGACCGCGTCGCGCGTTTCGCGACACTCGTTCCGTTGCGTCCGGACGCCCTAATATTATGTTATTAATAGTACTACGTGAATAATAATATCATTCCGGGCGGCGAGGAAATTAAATACAAATATTATATTTATACGGGGTGGTCGTTTTACCCCCTCCCCCTCTCCGTTTACTTTGTCGGGCGTTTCCGTAGCTCCGTTCGGATTCCGCGTACGTTTCGCCCTCAATAACCGACGCGCGTCTCTATTTTTATATTTCCGCGGTGAAAATGTCTGAAAAAAAACACCCGCCGGACGCTATTCACGAAATAATATTTGATCGATATAACTGCTGTCGTAGCGGCGAACATTAACCGGTTTTATAAAGAACAATCGTTTTTCTATTTGGTGTACCGCGTATCGCTATTGTGTATAACGGGTGACCTCTATCGCAATGACACAAAAATCAATGGAATAAAAGCGAATCCGCAGTAGGTGTCTATTTATTTTTCCAGAAATAATATATTCTTAGAACGCGTACGCGAAGTTATAAAGGTAAAAAAACCGCGTTCGAAAGTAATTTTATTACAATGTAATAGATTCGGCGCGTTTTACCCACACGCATTTACTGCGCGATTTGAGAAATAAAAAAATGTCTTCAAACTTTCACTATGAAAAATATATTGCATTATTGATTCAACAAAATAGCTTCTTCAGTCCCTAGTTCCGCACTGCTGTAAGCGGTAAATTCTCGGAGGATAGACTATTAAACGGGCTAATTTATTATTATACAACGAAAAATCTCATTGAAAAATTGTATTAATTTGTAATAACGTTATGGATAATTAAAAATAATTGAAATGTACCGGGGATCAGAAGTCGCCGTCGGCCGAACAGTCAAATTCTGTCTCTAAAATCCGGATCTGAAAATATTATTAATCTACAATTGTTCGCGTTTTAAAAAACTTTATCGTTAATTCAAACTGAGATTTATTTTTACCTCTATTCACGTTTATCTATGAATTAAAAAATTGTATTTTATTGTTTGTTTTAATTACTGTTGTTACCATTGTAAAAACATGAATATGTTGAAACAATTAATAAAATAATAATAAAAAAAAAAAACTGAGATGCTATAAAAAAAATATGACATTTCACTTTATTCTCGCTGTTTTTATTTTTTTATATTTATAACTAGGGCTCGAGACTTAATGCACATAAAATCCATAAAAAAGGGATCAAAAAAGTCAAAAAAGCCTCGAAGACGCATTTAAAAAAAACAAAATAATCATGTTTTTAAAAGTCCAACCTCTAACGGCTCTGACTTAAAATATAATTTTCGAACACTACAAAAATAATTAATATAAGTTTTTGAATAAAATAAGCGTCGTAAAAGAAAATATTTTGTGTTTATCATTTTTATAATGTTGAAAATTTGCATATAATGGTGGGGCCGTGGGGCAGGGGTTTAAATTTTAAATCCCACTGAGCCTTCTGTCATTTATACTTTAATTTTTTTTTTTTCAAGGTTTTTTTTGTAGATTTTGAATACATAAAGTCTCGAGCCCTGCTTATAGCTTACACAGTGAACAAATTACCGCGATAAGACCGCTGGGTTTGTATACGCTCATTATTAAACTATTTCGAGTTTTTTTTTTTTTTTTTTGTTAACCAATAGTATCGGAAAATTCAACTGCATCTATAAATTAGAAGAAAAAAAAAATTAAATTCAACAGCTTTCCGAGGTTGTTGTTCATAATATATCAAATTTTAAAACAATATAATGCATTTGGGTTAATTAATAATTGCAACCGTTCAAAATTAAATACCGAAACCGCGATTATTACGCTGAATTCAGCGCAAAACCTAACCTGGTTTATAATATTGATTTTATCGAACGGAATGAGAAAAATTACGTTCGTTACACTAAAAGTAGTGAGAGTTCATAAGTAATTTATTTTTGTGAGTAATGAATTGTCGAAACGTGTCAAACGCACTCGTTTGAAAATCTTATGTAATATAATATATTCGCAAATATTATATACTCGTCGTCATTATTTCCAAATATAATAATTAATTTGTATACGATTAATTTCCAACTCTCGCATAACGAAAAATTGTTAATTTATCATCAGGTACTTAGGTTTTTTTTTTTTTTTTTTTTTAATACGAACGAGGAAGAAAAAACGACTACGTTCATTTTTGTTTTATACACAATTTCCTTTCCGTTTTATTCCTCTTTTGATTTTCGCATGAAAATAGATATAAGGCACGTCGTATTAACGACGTCGTCATGATAAAACACAAAAACGTGACCGCATATTTATTTATTCATTTTTCCCCATATTTTTTTTTTTTTTTTTTTTTTTTTTTTGGCCACTATTTCCAGCAGCGGATCTCGGTGGCGTGTCGTTGTAGTTTTCTGTTAGCGTATAGTCGTCTTTAATAATAATAATAAAAACGCATTCCTCGCTTGGCTTGGAATCCGCGAAATGTTAATAAATGTGCAATATTTTGCCATCTGTATATTAAAATATTATATTGCACGTAGAGTAGATAACGTTATTGAGAACCCCTTTGTCCGCGCTCGAGACGCACGAAGGAACGCTACTCCGACAGTCACTTGAAATTATAATATAACGGGGAGACACTCATCGCCGTGGTGACACTCGGCGTACGCCACTATCCGCCTGCACCGAATGTGTCCCTTAATAAGGCACTTGACCCTGTATCGATTGGGGAATTGTTTGGGAAAAACCACGACGACAATTTGTGCACAATGGTAGGTTTGGCGATGTCGGGCGCCACCTGGCGGATTAATACCCGATTGTTATCCGCAACAAGGCTATATATATATATATATATATATATATATATGTTTCCTGCATTATGATTACACACGGATTGATAAAATAACATTTAATAAATTTGCACACCGTGTACGTGACAATTCGCGACTAGGAAATTATTTTACAATAACATTAACATTAATTAAATTTGGGCGGCCCTTAGTGTACAGAGAGAAAAGAAGTGAATTGTTTTTCTTCGATTTCTCGCCCTTTCAAACCTACGGTTTAATAACAATCAGATCGTCGGGTCAACGTGATCATTGAGTGGGGTTTCTGGAAAAAAAAAAAAAAAAATACGCGTTGAAACCCGCCTCCCTTTGTTTTTATTTGGCTACAGGTAAGGTTGAGACGGTTACGAACTCCCGTAGACCTCGACAAACTCCCGTAGGCCACCCGAACCTCCCTCCTGTATTGATAAATCTCGACTACGCTACTGTAGATTTCTGCACGCCAAACTATATACGTAAACTCTAAACGTTTTTGGTATTTAATCTGTGTTGGCGCCTATTTATCGGAAAATTGTCCCGACGGCGGAACCACGGCGAGTTTACGCCGTGTCACTGCCGACCGTATTTTATTTTCATTGCGATGCGTCTAACGCATCGTTTAAAATTATGTAACTTTTTTGCGCACGCTTATGCGGCTCATCGCGGTGGTTATTACAGTTATGTTATAATTTCCCGTTGGAATTTTAACATTTGCTAGTGCGCAATGTTTTGTATTTTGTTGGGTGTTTCTTATATTGAAATTGACTTTGTCCCCGTGTCACTTGGTTACTTCTGTGGATACTGCTGCGGTTCGACATCTGACGGTTTGACTCGCGGCGGCCCGGCTGTCACCGCGGTGGCTGTTTCTCACCAGTACAACCGCGCTGTTTTCCCCGCGTATCTCATGGTGAGCAGAACTCGTATGCATCAACGTAATGATCCAGGTTTAGAAAAGTTTAGTCACGAAATATAAATTAAAGTTAAAAAAAAAAGTTTTAACTTAAGGAGATGCTCCCTGACGAGGGACTGCCTAAAAATTCGGATAAAAAAAATTATTTTTTCCCCGATATACAAAAAAAAAAAATAAAAATTTTTTATACTTGAATAATTTCGGAGCAAATTATGCGAACATCTCCCGCTTACAAGATGTGCAAATTTTAATAAAACGATCAACAATTTGAAACTATCAATAATTATTATTATGAAAATATATGATTAACCGATAAATATATCAGTCTGGAATTTTTTTTAAAACTTTTTAAATATTTTATATCTTCGTATCTCGCTAAAATATTTTACTCGTTTGCACCGTATTTTTCAAAGATTAATTTTTTAGATTCTGAGCGAAGCGAAGAATTTCTTACAACTTTTCTACCAGAAATTTTGTTCCGATTTTCGATCATAGCTTTTTTTCAGAAAGGAAATGTGACTGGAGGTGATACTTTAGGGAGATCGTCATTTTCCTGGGAGTTTACAAAATTAATGGTGAAAACCGAGAAAACATGCGAAATGTATTATTTTTCAAAACGTTAATGTCCCAGCTATTTAAAACGCGCGTAATCGAACTCCGCTCTGAATCTGTTTTCGTTAGCAAAGATTAATTGTCGCATACAGGTAAACGTTATACGTTTTCTCTCTATCCTAAACGTGTCCGTACCATTTTTTACCGTCCGCATACGATTACGTCCCGCGTTCGAAAACCCAGGTGCACCACGCTGCCAACAGTTCACGTCCGGGAAAAACTCGGGACGTTTCGGACGCCGGCGAAACCGGAATTCTAGTGGATCCCGCGCGGACGGAACACAATTTTCAGCGCATCGAGTCCTCAGCGTTCTACCGCCCGGCGCATCAATAAAACACGCGGATGTTCCACGTTTTAAAAATACGCATTACAACGTATATATATATATATATATATACACGTGGATATAATAGGCGCGTATAATCTACATACATATACATTACGTTTGTATGTGACACGCGACACCGAATAATTAGTGAAGATTAATCGGCTCGGTCGCGGGACACGCATGGTTATTATGCGCACAGCTTGTATAACCTGCAACAACTTTCGCATGACAAATACATATTGTCCCGTTTCCTTGATCCTGCTGCCCCGTACTACAACTACTGCCGTGCCGCTGCTACTGTCACAGTACAACACTGCACTACTGTTTCTCGGTTCGGCGTTATTTATAATAATACATATATTGTATTGTAATTGCGCGTACGATGGTGCAGGCTGATCGAATTCTCGTGTACGAGAATAGAACCGTCGGCGATTATCCGGCGGACACGTCTGGTCCGGGTACGTGAAAAAAGCTGCGCCGGGATAACGGGGTGACATTGCGCTAGGGTAATGTCAACGCAGTGCTATTGTCGACTTTACGCACGTAATGTATTGTACTGGGTACCGATTTGCGGTTCGCCGGGGAGAAATTACGAAATTTTAAAAAAAAAAAAATACCGACATTTCTCTCACGTGGGTGGGCCACTGTTGTTGGTGAGAAGTTGCGAAGGTAGTAGAAGGGAAATTCAATATATATATGTATATGTAATCAACTATAAACCGTCGCTTACGAAAAACCGATTCTAAGTGGGGTTCCGGTTGATAATGTCGCTTTGTCCACAATTATATGTATGCTATTTTATGATAAAATAATTACGCATGTATTAAATATTTTCTTTAACAATATTTATTTAATATTGTACCTGTTTTCCCATTTTTCCTTCGTTTTCTCTAATTTTTCCATGTTCTTTCCCGGTTTTCCCATTTTTTTGGTAAAACCCCTGAGAAAATCACAAAATTACCTCCCTAAAGTACCTCCCGAATCCAATTTACTTTCAGACAAACTGCTATCATTGTAAATCGGAGCAAAATTTCTGGTAGAAAAGTTGTTTACAGATAAAAAAAAATAAACATCATTGTAAAACCAATACAATTCTCGCTTCACTCAGAATCTAAAAACCCGGTCTGTTGTCGGTGGAAAATTGGAAAATTTAGTGACGGTAAATCATTGTAATTGAAAAACGATTATGATAACAGAAGCTCAGTAAACTACAGATAATAAGCAGGTCACCAGATTTGGATAAAATACTTTTTAAAAGCACGCATGATAAATGTTCAAACTCATACAAAAAAAAAAAATATTATTTAGCATAATATTATGTAATCGAATATTTTACGAAATTAGTATTTCTAACAAATATAATATGTAAAAAATTAAAGGATAAGTTTTGTCAAAACTATTGGCAATTTCGTAAAACTATTTTATATTAAATACCACCGTGTAAAAAATTACATATTACGTATTTTAAAGTAATGCCTGAACAAATCGGATCATTTATACTAACCGAAAAAATGTTTTCCAGGAAAGTAAAGCACTCATCTTGAAGTTAAACATTGAAATATACTCTAAAACGAGATTTATAAAGTGTTTTTTTTTTTTTTTTATATATATAAGGAACAAAATACTTTTTAAAACCATTCGGAATACCAGTATTGAATACTTCTGAAAAAAAGTATTTTTAAAATATTCAAAATACTGAAAAAGTATTCGTACACCACTATACTCAGTGTGCAAGTCACCCAGAAATCGACAAAAATAAAACCAACATAGGTACTTAGTCATTTTTTGCCGGATTTTTTTTCAATATTTCAGAAAAACCATCGGGAAGCTTAGAAAAACAATTCTTACATAAAGAAGCCGGGTGGAAATTCGGCGTCTTTTACGGTTAGGTTACGGTACGTCGTGTTACAATCTTAGTATCTTTACTAATCGTAAAAAGATTTCGTCAAAGCGGGAAAAAAAAAATCGCGTCTTAATCAAACTACAATACTAATATATAATAGCTTCTTGGTTACACCGAAAAACTAAAAAATCGATTTAATTAAATAATATTACTGTTACCTTTAATACTTAACGAATACTTAATCCAGTGTTGTGTTGTCGAACTATACACGCATAGGTAATTAAAATTATTTCAAAAACAAATGAGTTTGTATAACTATACAAAAATCGATACTTCGAAAATTTAATTAAAAAGTATAACGCGTATATATATTGTGACCCACGTGAGCTTGAAATTTAACGAGTATTTTTTAATGATACGCGTCTGTACATAATACCTTTCGATTTATGTATTTTGTTCGTAAATAATAAATATCAATACGAATAACGTGAAATATATTCTGTCATTATTATTATACCTACCGAATGTAGCGTTCTTTTTTTCGTGCCCTCGTTGGCGCATTTATATACAAGCACAATTATAGGCGCACGTCTACACAGACATATTTTAAGAAACGGGATATTTTAAAATGGATTTTTTTTAATATAATAAATAGAAAACGGTTAAATGGTGATCGCTACAAAAACAATTTCCAAATTAAAACGCGATAAACTGTGTGATTTTCAGATTCTGAGCGGAGTGAAGAATGTATTGGTTTGACAATAATATTAGTTTTGTTTTTTCTTCTGTAAACTACCAGACATTTTTCCTCGATTTTCAAGTGTAGTATTTTTTCTAAAAAGTAACTTGACAAGGTGATACTTTTTTAACAAGGACTAATTTTTTTATTTTTCTAGTGATTTAATAAATTGATAAAACTGAGGAAAAAGGTAGAAAAATAGGGAAAACGTACGAAATTTATTATTTTCAATTCGTAAATAGTATGGCCTATCAGAAACTGAACTACTTTCAGAATCATTTTTCGTTAGCAATGATATACGTATAAATTTCACTTGTACTTTCCCAACTTCTCGCCTACAACAATAGTGGCCCACCCATCGTGCGAAGTATATCCATTTGTTTTATATTACGAAATCATAAATAAACAATTTTTTTTTTTTTTAAATGTAATTTCTAGTTTTTCTATTATTTATAATAGTAATTATTATATTGCTGATATTAGTAGAAAGATAACGAACAATGGAAAAAAATAACAATAAAATAACAAGTTATTCAAGTATAGCTGGTACTTAATCGTATTCAAAGATAATTTTATGTCACGTGGTTTGACTAATATTAGTTTAAATACAAGCATTTGCATCATTTGAAATGAAATCATGGGGAAGTATGTTCAAGTATCTTAAACAACATTTTGTATTCAGTTGTAGTCTAATAAAACGAGAAAACAGTCAGTGGATCGTTTAGGGGTTCATACATTTTTCACCAAAATCAGGTGAAAATATATCAAATAATATGGAAATATTACCTTAAATGTTTTTACCTTTTTAGTAAAGATTTCGGGGGAAGCACATTTTTTTTTGTTAATGGAGGACCACCCTGAACAGTTGCTATAAGTTATTTACCGTTTAACACAATTATTATAAACTAGGTTTAAAAATGGAGCACAAACAAAAAAAAAAACCATTAAACTCTATTACTATACGTTCAGAATCTAAAAATATGACTGAGATGAATTCGAACGCCCGTAATGTTCGAAATGTCCATCCTGTGCGTAGTGCTATAGTACATAGATTTTATCCAAAACCGTTGCGAGTTATATAAAGAAAAATCATCCATTTTTTTTTTTTTTTTTAAACCTGTTGAGAATCTAATAAAAAGTTTCGAATATAGCCGGAACGCCGTGGTGGAAAGTAATCCGAATCTTTGTAGGTGTACATGCCGTGACAGCGTCGATGAAAGTTTTCGATGATTTTTTTTTTTTTTTACTAAAGCGAAAAAGTGGACCTGTATAAAGCGTACCGCCCCGTAATAATTTATACGGGGTGGCTTGTACGACAACAGCTAGCATTAGTAGTATTAGATATTATAGAATATTCAAGAGTCCGGGGACGGGAACGTAGAATGTTCTAAAAGCGCGTGACTCACGGCCGAAACGTGACCGGAATGACCGTCGACGTTGTCGGTGTGATAGGCAGAGAGTGGGAGAGAGAGAGAATGAGAGAGAGAGCCGAACAAGACGATCCGTTTAACTCGTCAACCAGCCGCATCTCTGTAAAATCGTATCGATTGAAGTTTTTATTTTTTGTTTTTTAATATTAATATTACGTTTTTCCGGAAATCGTTCGGACTATAATACAGTTGCGGTCAGGGCACCGAAAAAAAAAACCGCCACGTATCGTGAGTCAAAATAAAATATAGTTATCTATACCCGCCATGTGATTAAAATGGGAAAAATTTCGAGGGACATCTATAATAACTAAAAATTGAAAGGAGTTTCCGAAATGTAACTTAGCCCAACTAAACATTCCGGACACGCATCACGGAGATAGGACTCCGAAAAATTTTTCTCCTATTAGCATAGGTATGTTTTGTGTACAAATTCTATGTTAATGAGATTTAAAATTTAACTGCGTTTCCCGCCAAAATATTATCCTACACATAATGTCTGCTTGAGTAGGTTAGGTTGTACACCTCATAGCTTAATAGCATATTCTATTGTTACCGAAGTAAAAAAAAAATCAAAATAAATATACTTTTTCATGTACGTAATGTTAAATGTGTAAAAAAAAAAAAAATGGTAAAATATGCAAAAATTGTGTCAAGACTAGAAGTCGAACCAGAGTCTGCGCAGAACGACCCGGGGCATCCCTTATTGTGTGACACACGTTAGACCTCCTCGCCTCCCCTGACGTACTGAATCCGTTGATTTTAATGGTATCTAAGTAAATAAATATTTAATTGCATTTGAAAAACAACAAAAAACATGATAACGGTGAACAATTAAAAACTATTAGATTATTGTGTTGAAATGTAATAATTTAAACGATAAATCAATAGTTTTGTCATTAATATTGTTTATCGTCGTGTACAGACATAAATTAAATACATTTATCTATCTTGCTTTCCCAACTTCCCATCTACAACAGTGGCTGCAACCATATGCCATATAAGCTTTTTTTTTTTTTTAATATCGTATCGCAGCAGTGTACGTTTGTTGTACCGACAGACGTTCCAGTAAGATATTTTACTGTCCGTCCGGTATCACATATCGAATACCAGATCAGTGTGCAAGCTACGGCGGTATTAGATACCATACAAATACAATTTTGTTTATCCTTTCGGTACCGTACTGCGTGTCAATGCAGTTTGCAGTGTGTGTTAATACGGAATCTAGGTAAAAATATCCGTATCTATAATATCCATGAAAAAAATATCCGGTTTAGAATATCCGAGGAAAACATATCAGCGTGGAAAATACATCCATGAAAAAAAAAATCATATAGATGTATATTAATTAATAAATAATTATGTTATTATTCGTATATATATATGTACAGATATTGTTTTGATATTTTGATATTTTTACTGACGAACGATATTTTTAAATATTGTTTTATGAACTAAATTGTAACTGAGAAGTCAAGAATTACTTTGAATTTATATGGATATGTATAATGTATATGAACAACAGCATGATTGATTATTAATATGTATATTTTTCCTTGGTTATTTTTTCCACCTGGATATTTTTTCCTCGGATATTATGGATCCGGATATTTTTACGAGTTACTGATAATACTTGGCAATTACAATGCAAACAACAAAATTATAATAATAAATATTACTTCTATTGTAATAGTATTTGAAACTGACCACGGGTTTTTTTTTTTTTTTTTTTTTCTAGTCCATAAAACGTTTATGGATCTGTAAACGTCATCACGGTGAAAATTCCATACGATTGTGTGTAATACATGTATTTTTTTTTTTTTTTTTTTTAATCTAAAACTTATAGCCGCAGACGGTACAAAAATCGTGGACGTACACGCGTTTTCGCGGACGAAACAACGCGTCGCGCGGTTTCGGGGCCCGGTGTCGACAAACCGCTCGGCCGCCGGACCCTCTTTAACGCGTCACAAGTGATGGCGTGTTTAATTAGCCGTTATTGTGCGAAACTTTTGGTCGAGGAACGGTTCGCGGGATATGGTCGGCCATGAGGAAAGAAATAGAGAGAGAGAGAGAGAGAGAGAGAGCGAGCGAGAGAAAGTGAAAAACTTTTCTCCCGAATTCTCCGGTACGCGCCACCGACTCGACGGGATCCCGAGGTTTTCCGCGGCCGTATTTAAAATGTCTGCAGCAGTGCGCGTCGCGGTGACGGGGAGAGACGAGATCACCGCACCAGTCGCGATCCTAAAACGAATAACGAAACTAATCGTTCGTTTTTTAGATTCTGAACGTAGCGAGTGCACATTCGTTCGTATTCCCTACGTCCGACTATCAACAAATACCTCCGCGGAACTTCTCTGATCCATACAGTTCTCGGCGCAGTGAATCGTCTGAACAGCGGACACGCTTGGCCATCAATACTGTGTCCGCTATCCATAATTGTCGACGGTTCAGACGGGATAAATGTTTGAAATTAGAACATTTGATCTGGGTTAAACATAATTAAAATGTTATCGTTAAATAGTATAATTACTTATTATTTAGATTTTGTTTGATTCAAAAATGTTGATTATCATTTAGTTTTAATAAAAAAACACGCGCATATAGCACGTACGATTAGAGGAATCACTTTTTCGTATGAAACCTTTGGCCGAAAATTCGTTGTGTATTATTATCTGGGCCCCGAGCAAATTAATTTCATGTCAATTGTATAAAACAACTCTGAGCATAATACTATGTATACGTAATCTATACGTTATTTATAATATGTTTATGATTATACATAAATTACATCAAATTTAAACTCTGTATAATCTTAAATTTGTATTCTGTACTTATTTGATTATATATAATTGCAATATATTTTATGAAATTTATACTGTAGTATTTATTTAACACGAGGCTTTCTGATACCAATTAATAAGATGCAGGCAATATACTTGTTTCGAGGTGTTAGATATTTAATATCAGAATTGATTTCTTTTTGTTACAATACATTTATTAAAAAATATATAAGCAAATTAATCAGATGAATACATAATAATTAATAATTATTTAATTTGGTGAGAAAAAAATCTATCTTCAGCGTTGAGTCTTTATTTGACACGATATCCGCACTCTGAGCTTTTCCAATTTGATACTTTTCTACGAGTGCCTACACGAACAGCTAAGTTTCCGTGGTTTTCACGGAAGTCAATAATGAAAATAATGATATATATATGAAAGCGACAATCTCTTTCGCTTTAACACGCACATCTCATCGATAACTAATAATAACTAATCACAAAATTAATAGCAAAACAGGCAAAACATTGGCAGTCAAGACGATGATATTTTCGTCATAAACGTCATAATTCGTCGTAATCCTATCGTATTGTTCGAAAAACAAGTTTATTTCAACGAGTTCGTTATGGTTATATTTAGCGCGAGCACAGTTTGCGGACGCCATTTTGTCATTATTTTTAAATTAGAATTAATATACGTGTTCGTTATTCGGAGGTTCTCCATTGGAAAGTGATGGAAAAGTTTCAGTTTTTAAAAAATCCGTCCATTATTGGGAGTAGTCCGTAAAGGAAGGTTTTACGGTATAATAGGTAAGTAAACCGAAAATAAAGAAAAACGTCGAGGAAACAGGAATATATATTATGCATAATAAAAAAAAAAGACGTCTTAGGATAATGGGGTCAGGTGCAGCCACTGTTATAGGTAATTTAATGTGTATCTGTAAACAACGATAAACCATTGCTAACAAAAACATTTTTTTTAAAAAAGCTGTCATTTCGTTTTTTTTTTTTATTTGAACAACATCGCATATAGAAAAATTGTTTACAGGCACAAAACAATACAAAATTTAAAAAAACAAATCGTAGTAAAGCGAATAACCTCGTAACTCCGTTCAGAATCGAAATAAAAAAACAATAATTACAAATCAAAAGAATTACACGAAGCCCAATCATTTTTCAGAACAGAAATTGGGCCACTAGAAAACACTATGTTTGATAAACTCCAGCTTATTTGTCTAATTGTGTGAAAAAAACAAATCCTATACAACCGACACGATTAAAAATGACCACGATTTTGACAATCGTAACTGTCGCATATCGAAGTATCAAGATGTCGATTACCCATTCATCATTAATATATGATTTATGTATAATCTATAATAATGTCATACATTTATGAAACAAAAGTATACCTACATAGTCACTAATTGTCAAATGTCTCTTACGGAGCGTAATTTTATTGCATCATTTCCCGTTGTAGACATATTATCACTATAACCATTAGTTATCACAAGATATTTCACTTTAAAATTTAGGTAAGTGGAAAGTAGTGGAGCATCATTTGTATGGCGGCACAGTGCACGGTGTTTAAATAGTGTCTCGCTGCTCTTCCCCTACCTAAACTTAAACGTGGAATATCTCGTCAAAACGAGTTAACGATAATGTAAAATTACAACACCAAAATTTATTTAAACTAATACGCCTTATAAGTATAAGCGTATTAAGTATATGTTTAAGTTGCTATTTGAAAATCAAAAGTAGGTGGCCAATTCACGGCACAAAACTAAGAGTGACTACGAGTATAGAGTATCCCGACAATAGAACGAAAGCAAAAAAGCGAACGCAAATGCGCGAAAAATCCATCGTTTTATCAAGCTTTGTACAAACATTTCATGATTTTTTTTCAACTACTAAATATATTACAACACACTACCCATTTTCGAATTTTTCATCGAAGAGCCCAAGTGACCGTATTGAACTAAATAAGTCTGTGAAAAATTTCAATAAAAAACCGTAAGTTATACAAAATGTATGAATAAAAATCGATTGATATCTAATATACGACGCGACACTTTTGTAACTATCGACGTCTTCGATGTATTAGCCAAAGCACGTCAATAAATATAACAAAAATATATTCTATCTTAACAGAGTTTACCAACATGTATTTGTGAATTTTTAAGGTAAATATTAGGAAGAATTTTTTTTTTTGATGGGTGTATTTATTTATTTAATTTGTGCTGGTGTAACAATACCACTGAATCTTATTTCACGAAAAAAAAAAATTGCCTCCAGTTAGCGAGCATTAGTTTCAGGTGAACGATTCGATTTGTACGTATTTTATTTTATTTTACAGTTAAAATTTTCTCTGAACAAAAAGTGACATGAAGGCAAACTTCCTGAATGAAATAAGGAACAAATAATAACCGACCTTGCAAATTAATTTTAATTAGTTATGTATCTAACACAAGAACTATTAAAAAAGATACCAATAAATGCCGTTATGAGATTTTAACAACTTTTAACTTTTAATTATTGTACAAATTTTTATTACTTGTTTTATACAAATCGTTAAGAATATTTTCAGTTACTTTTTTTATTTATTTTACATTTACTCACTGTTGCTGCCTGCACGTTTATTTCAACTTCGGTGGTGTTTCGCAATGTGCAGACTAAAAGCATTAGAACTAAAACGACACACGAATTACGAGTCGTCATAGTACGTCCGGTTTATTACCGTAGGTATAAAATTCTTCGCGAACTCCTTTCGGTTGTATAGAATTTTTACGTAAATTTCGACTTACTCCTATTATCAAAATGTCCATGCAAGAGTGTATCTTGTGTTCCTTGTTTGTCGTCTGCCGCGGAAGAAACTGTTTGTGTCGACTATACAGTCGTAATATACACTTTAAATAAACAATAACAGGAGACCCCGAGAACGAATCGCGTGATGACTTTACGACCGATCCGTGGCCAATTATATTTATATGAGTCCCACGCACCACTACCGAGAGAATAATATTTCTGTTATCTCGGTAATTTCCTCGGGTCCACGGGTCCACACGGCGTTAGTATAGGGAGAACGTATTGTATATCATTGTATAGTGTATATGGGGGTAGGGGGCAGATATCCGAAAACAAAGAGGACAGCAAATTATTGGAGAATATATGAAAAATATGGAGAAATTATACGGTACGAGAACGTGAGTTATACGCTTATATTTAAATGTGTGATCGTATTTGAATATATTTTGTCATATGACTGCTTCGTCTAGGATTTTTTATAGGACCGCTCTTAAGACTTACCGAAAAAAATATTATTACGAGGGCCTCCCCCTAGTTTTCACCCTCTACCTAAATACTTAAATAAAACATTCAATTATAATGATAATTGTTTAATTTTATAATAACGAATAATTAAAGAATATATTTAACATTCAATTATGAAAATTATTAAAAGAACTATTAATCATTAAATGTATTATTACATTAACAAAATAATAAAAAGAGCAAAATTTACAAATACAAATACAAATACAAAAAACAGACGGATATACTTTGCATGGTGGGCGGGCCACTGTTGTAGATTCGATATTTTATTATTATCTACCTGCTCTTTCTGTAAGTCAAAACGAAATTGGGTATTTAGCTTTGAATGAGTATATATTGAACTGATAAGTCATGGGACAGGTCATTAACCAAATCACAAACAACTTTTTTAGCATTATCCATTTAGCTGACTTTTTCTTGGAGCTGATGTACCGCAGCATTTAAAGCATCTTTTTCTTCTTAAACCTGCGCTAATTCTGTTGATAAGTTCTCAACCACCTAGGAAAAAGATTTAAGGCGGTTTTCAAGACTTTTGATGTTACTTGGAATTTCCCTAAACTTATTATCATGTAATTAAACGCTCTCTTGAATTTTTATTAAAAAATTGCAAACATTAACCATAGTAATTTTTTCTCGCTTTGGCACATTGGGTTGTATCAGGCGAATCTCTCTTAGGCGTAGATTGAGAGCCCCGTGATGGACAAGAATATGCAATAAAAATTAATTACAAACACAGAAATGCCGTAACAGTGAATAAGTAGGCAGACATACAGACTTGTTCGAAGAGACGTATAAGCGCTCTTTTACGTGCGTTTTTTTAGACACTTATCGGCAGCGAGAAACGAAAATCTCAGATGCGATAACGCAAAACACGTGTGAAACTATAGGAGAAATCAATAAGTACTACGGAACAGTCACAATAATTGATTTAAAACTATAATAAGACAAAAATATTGATATATATATTACGGAATCCATTTACCAAGAAACAAAACGATAAAGCTAATAAATCCGTCGCTCAGCTCAGAATCAAAACACACAAAAATATGAATATTTTTCTAATGAATCGAAGAAAAAAAGTACATGAGACCAAATCATATTTGAAAACAGAAATTGGGTTACTAGAAGTACGTATGTTTGTAAACTCCAACTTATTTATCTAAAACGATGTAAAAACGAATCACTTTTTTAACAGACATGACAAAAATTCACCTCTATTTTGATATTCGTTACTGTCGTATATTGAAGTATCGAGTTGTATAATACATTTATGAAACAACAATATAGTCAATTGTCAAACGTGTCGTACGTACAATAATATTATTGCACCGTTTCCTGTAGTACACATATTATTATTATTACATTATTACCATAAACATTTATTATCACGAAATATTCCACTTTTATGTTTGGGTAAGGAGAGAGTAGTGGAGCGTCGTTTGTGTAGAGGCACAGTGCGCGGCATTTGAACAGTGCTCCACAACTCTCCTTTACCCAAACTTAAACGGGGAATATCTCGTCAACGGGTTGACGGACGACATACTAAATGTCAACGCCAAAAAGTACTTAGACTCATACTCTGTTTATGCATTATAGTTAGCTATTCGAATTTACCTATTCGTAAATATTTAATATTGATCACCTTTAACATAAAATGACCAGGTACGTAACTGTTACAAACTATGCCTACTCAACAGAAAACACGTCACTGAACACGACAAAACTAAAAAAAAATCCACACATTTTCAAACAAATTTGTCAAACCATCTAATAATAGGTATATAATTATTTTAAATGAATAAAACATTAAATAATTAACTTATAAAGCAATAAAAACACGTATTTCGTTTGAGTATTATGTATTCAGTGTTTTTATAACAATGTAAAGCGCTAAAGCAGTAAAGCGAACGCCGAGAAGTGATAGTATAAAATATTATATAATGGCATTTATTACAACTACTTATGTGTTGTTTTATTACTGTTGAAGAGGACATCAACGCGTCTTCATGCATACACTATGTGATTCTACGTTGATAACCATTTTATCGTTTAATCTGTCGTCGCCCACTGTCAAACGCAAGAAACTTTTACTCTTTTTGAGGGCGAGTAGAATCTGTGATTAAAAACTATTGTGTTATGCAAAGTGAAAATGATTAAACGTATTTCAAGAATTTCGGAAAATTCAAAAGGGAGTTTCGATAAAGTATTAATAATTTTATTTATACATTTATTTTAGTTAACATGATCGGATTGCTCTAACAAAGACCTTGTTGATTGGAATTTAGAAGGAATTCTGGCTCTATTTATATTTAAACATATGTAATGAGTTAAAACATATTCTAAATTAATGTATTCTGGATTAGAAAAACAGAAAAACTTTTATCAAGCGTTAGTACAAATCGATAAATTAAAATATTATTGAAATAATTAATAATAACTAACATAAAAATTAGAAATATGTTTTTTTTTTTTATCGATATAAGGATATTATTAAATAAAATGACAAATTATTATAAACTTACGAGTTGTAATCAAAATTTTAGATTTCTTATCTAAGTGATTTATCGTTATAAATGGCCTGTTTAACGCATCAACTAAATAATATTGCCTTTCAAAAAAAATTGCTACAATTTACATATCGGATCAAAATTTTTTTTTTTGAAAACTTGTTTTAAATAAAACACACATACACGAACGTATCTGCGCTGTTTTTTGGATATGTAGGCAGTTCTACAGCCAGGAGAAGGGGAAAGGTACTGGAAGATGGTATCCATTTCTCAAAATCGTTTGTTTTATTGGTTGTTTCGGTTGTTTTAGTGTATTTTATCATTTTCAAAATGGTATAGGTTACAATAAAAGTGTTTAATGTCCCTCCACTGACATTTTTTTCTTGATTACGGTACTGTGTGTAGATATACAAGTATTTCCCATAATATGTATCGATCACACTAGTGCATGATGTCACACACTAATCAATGTTCGCTTGTTGGTTTCAGGTTAATTGTCATAATAAAAAAAGACCAACTTACTTAGGAATATTTGTCAAGATTCAAAAATTAAAATACTATTATAAATAGATATATTACTTAACTTGCTTGCCTTATATTTCGGTGACCACTCCGTGTTATTGTTCATATTTAAAACTATTGACAAAATAATATTATCCTAACTACTTTTTACCTATTCAGGGTAGAAATTATAAGGGAAAGGATTTAAAATTTGTCTGCTACATTCGGTGAATTTTACCTCCCTCTTCCGATTAGGAAAATAGTACAAGGAGGTAAAATTTACCCGTGACGCCGGTATTAATTATATTATAGATTAATTATTAACATACTATAGTAATTATGACGATGAAAAAAAAACAACGTTCGATTTTGTTTTATCTCATTTTTTTTTTTTTTTCATTTTATTTGTTTTTTTTTAGTTTTTGATCTTTAAAAATAAATACGTATAGGTACAATAATACATTGTTTATAATATTAATCACCTAACTAGGTATTTATATAAATACTAGAAAAATACTGAAGTAAAAGTATTTCAATAAATAATAATATTAGATATAATTAAATAAATAATAACTAGTATATAGATAGGTATAATGTATGCAAAAATATAAAAATAAATATTCTTTGATTCGTATAATAGTCTTATGCCTGATTTATACGAAGCGTAGTACTTGTTATTCACACTAATAGTAATGATAAATATATAAAAATAAATGGAAATACTTCGCACGGTGGGTGAACCACCGTTGTAGATGAGACGTTGGGAAGATAGTGAGGAAATTTAATGTATATTTACACTCAACAGTTAATTATTACTAATGAAAAACGATTCTGAGCGGAGTTAGGATACACATGTTTTGAAAGGCCGTAATATTTACGATTTGAAAAAAAATATATTTCGTACATTTTCCCGTTTTCCTATTTTTTCTGATTTGTTTTACCCTTTTAGAAAAAATGCTACACTTGAAAATCGAGGCAAAAAAAAAACAAAAAAAAAATAAGAATTAACACCATTGTAAAACCAATATATTCTTCGCTCTGCTCAGAATCTAAAATATATGTGGCATGCCCACGTGTGTTGGAAATGTGAACGCACTAATGCGAATGACCAATGCATGAGACAAGTACTAATGATAAATAGTGAAGTAGCCAGGATTTATCAAATGGGGGGGGGAGATTACGGCAGTTTAAGGTGATTTAGAGGTCTATAACCTTCTTAACCTTACCTATAGCTAAAAAATAATTAGGAGGGGGGGAGATTACAACACCCAAACCCCCTTGGCTATAAGTACTAAGCATCGTAAACAGAAGGCGTCGCGTAATGTATTAAGCTAAGCCAGATCCACACCATGATAGTTAATATCGTCACTATTGTAACTGTTGTCACTATCATTTATTTTGCAATTTGAATTATCACGGTAGTAACTATCACAGAGACAATATTACTGAAAGTGCGACAGAACAATGTGAAATGGCACGATAGTACTATTATATGAACACAAGGTGATAAAATTACTAAGACTGTCGCAGTTTCACGATAGTTCGAATTTCGCAACTGTCGCCATGTGGACCCCAGGCTTATATTTTGATTTTAATAATATAATAAATAATAATACTTATATTTTTATCACAGTTGATGAATTGTTCCAGCGCAGTTTATTGAGTATCTGGAATGACTGGCACGATAGTAATAATACGCGTATTCGGTTTTAGAGTGTTCAAAAAACGTAGCGCCACAACGATGCGCAGATCGTCGCGATAAAACACGTCGTGAACGTGCAGACAGCCGAGTGTATCTTTGACGGTGAACTATTTTTAGCGGACCTCGACGACGGCAGCGTATCGTTGATTTTTCTAGAGTCATCTTTAAAGAATAAAAACAAAAATTTAAAATACTGAAAGACGAGTATTGCATTTTTCAATCGGTATATTCAAAAGATATAATTTATCCAGAACAGATATACCCAATAACATTAAGTACACGAGTAGGTAGGTGTGAAACTGGTTTAACCGCGGGGCGATACGGATGAATTACTCTTCAAGGCTGTCGGAATCAAATTTTGTAACTTTGAACATTTTTTTAATACAATTTTTAACAGCTTCATTAAAGATAAACATTGTTTCACTGATTTACTGCCCGATTCCCATTTAGGGGGCAAACGTACGGCAGTTTTTACGGGTGAAAATTACTTTGCGGGAAAATCTCTCGCTCCTCGTAAAACGACCCGATTTCAATATTTTTGTTTTTTTTTTTATTCAAATTTTTACAGGTCACGTTGATCTCCGATTTTCGTATATAATAATAGAAAGAAAAATATTGAAAATAACAAAAGATGTAATTATTCAGACGCATAATTCCTTTAAACAGTTTCTAAGAATTTGAATTTTAAAAAACGGAACTCAATACTACACAACAAGTTCTTTCCCTTTCAAATAACAATAATAATAATACATGAATAAATAACTTTTTACGAGGGTTTTTCTCTTAAGGTATATTTCAGTACAAAATATATGGCGACACCGACAGCCTTATCCACCTATCGAATGTATCCCTTAATAAGGCACTCGATGACTTTATGAATGTCTTATTAACGCGCTTGTCTTAATAAGATTGAAAATGACGTTAGGAAAAACCGCGAATGAAATATTATTACTTATTTGTGTATTTTATGGTAGGTATAGTGTTGTCAGGCGTCGCCTAGTGGAGTTCAGTATTCTATTACTATCAACCGTGACAATATTTTTATTAAACGACAGCTACACTTTTTTAAATTTCTTCTCTATAAAAAGTGTTTACAAAAGGCGTCGATAGGTAACCGATGTGATAAATATGAATAGTAACAGACATATTGAACTATGCGTGTTAATTAACTTAAAATTACGAAATGATTTTCTGTTGAAATTCCACTTGTTTTAGACACCTATCCTACCTATCCACGCGGCATTATAAAAACTAAAATTGTCCATTGTTTACTTATACGTAACTTCGTTGCTTCGATAAATCATAAAGAGTTACACACTAACATTGATATGTCTCTTCAACCCTTAAAGAATCGAATCCGAAATTGGCCGAAAACATGTTTGACTGTATTTCTCATGATGACTTCTTTACACAGAATTTTGGGCTATTAGTCGCATTAAACTTTTTAACCACTTGGGTGTAGAATTTTTAAAACTGCTTTAATTGCGGTCGCCTGAGTTGCAGAACGTCTGTGCACGATTTCAAGTTTCTAAACACGGTAGTTTGAATTGTGCGTTTTGATACGTCATTCAATCAGCGAATTAGTCATTTTCTTATTAGGTAATAATATTATACTTATAAAATAAGATTACGATTGTATCAGCCCCGATAATAGTGCGCAGCTTTTAATATTAATTTATTTTTATCACGATCGAGCGATCGTATGAACAGGGCCGCATTTAGGAAGGGAGCGGAAAGTTGTCCTCGGTCGGTAAATATTCTGGAGGTGGTAAATTTATACGGTTGTTGTACATTTTTTCACCAACATATATTTTTGTATTTATTGTGAATCATCCTAAACCTTTAAATTGTTTTACGACACTAATATTCTATTTTATTGTTTGAAATTAAAACATAAAAAAATACTTAATATTATCAAAAAATCGTCATATTTCATAGTAAAAACGTAGTGATATTTTCTGAAAAATTGGTTTTCAAAATGTTTGTATTCATTAAAGTTTTTTTATATTTTGTTTATTTAAGTGTTTGGATTTTTTATGTACCTACTGGATCTTCCAAAATTCATGTGACTGTCAACTTTCCATGAAATGCTTATTTTTTTCAAATTATGACTTGTACAACTTTTGAAATTTTATATTCAAAAATTTTACTTTGTCCTTATGTTTGTAACTCAAAATTTCGGGGTTGAAACGATTGAAGGAAATCATAAATATCAACACTAAAGTATATTTAAACTAAAATTGCATTTATAAATGTAATTTTTTAAACATAGGTTGTTATTTTAAACACCTCAAAATTAAGAGTTGAAAAAACCAGCACAATGTAACATTTTATAATGTAATATGATACCAAAACATTTTTATATGAGTCATTTATTGAAAAAATTATTAATTTATGGAATAATTAGTTTATGGAAAATTTACTGCGATATGAAAT